TAGCGTAAATTGGAATGATTTCTTTGTAAAATTAAAAATAAGGTATTTAATTAATAACTATTGTAACTATAGTGAAAAAATAGGGTGGTTTGCATCAATGTTAGACATAACTGGTTGAAGACTGTACCACCTCAGTCAACCGTGACCATAGAACCTGTAAAGGGCCCGAAACGTCGGTTTGTTTGAAAAAACAAATATACACGATTTATATCCGGAAAAATAGTTTCATTTCCTAAATAATTAATAAAATTATAAATAATTAATAAAATTATAAATAATTATTAAAATTATAAATAATTAATAAAATTATAAATAATTAATAAAATTATAAATAATTAATAAAATATTAAATAATTAATAAAATATTAAATAAATTATACTTAAATATAATAAAATATATGAGTAATCAAATGCCATTTACGAATTTCCACCGATAGCAAACAAAATAAAGTGCTTAAAAAACAAGAAGAAAAAAAAAACATACTAAAAAAAACACAATTACACAAAAACTACTGAGTAATTAAACAAATAATGAAAACAAAATAATAGGATTATACAAAAGTTAGAGTATCATCGCCAATCACGTCATGTGTCAAAGTGACGTATGGTCATTTCCCGCCTGACTATTATCACGTATGTGTGTACAGAACAAATGCAAAGTAATTTTGTGATGCATTGTTAAAAAGTCTTAACGCACGTACCAGGTACGTGTTTCGTCTATAATTAGTGTTAACATTAGTAGTACGAATTTAAAACTCACCGGCTCACATGGTCCCAGACAGTACTTGACATTGCACTGGAAGATGACGCCGTAGGATTCTGTGAACCTGAACGCCTCGTACACGGATTGCAAAGCGTTGCCATCCGGAGTGAACGCAGGAAAAATGGAGGGGTCCACTGGGCAACTGTCAATTAGACCGACATTTCACTTATACTGGGTGTTTTCTGTTATAAAAACACCGAACCAATCAATCAGTCAATCTATTTGAACAACTTTTATATAAGGTGTATCACAAAGTTAGTGTCATACTTGAGCTGGTGACTGTACTCATGTTATTCGAACTGCGAAAAAAAAACTCGAGCAATTTCGTACACTTTGATCCAGCATTCGTGAATTTTGTATAAAACTGTTGGTTCCTCATGATTTGTGACGGTCTCGGAAATTTGCATTTGATCCGGCGTTCTTCTCATTTGCGCGTAAGTATATTTCAAGAAATAAAGGTAAGAGAGTAAACATAGAAACAGGATAACGAATCTAAACTTTAAGATAAAGGACTATACTGCAAAAAACACTTTATTAGAATATAGTGACATTTAAAAGAAATTAATATGAATACCTTCTTAATGAAACATTTTACTCTGTAGATGAATGTTTAAGACCTTGTAAGTAATTTGACATTTTAATTAATTGTTTTAATCAAAATATTTTTAGTTTATAGATTCAAAATATTTATATGTATATTGACGACGTCATGAACATAATTCCAATAGTGATGTCTGACATAACATTAGCTAAGAACTTTATAAATTTTATATGCATTTTACGTTCGCGCATTCCTTATACTCATTTATTTACTTAGTTCGTATGCCTTAAGGTGCAGCCAGAGTGTCACTATGATTTTATTTATCACCATGTATTTCAATGTAACCTATGTTGACGAATAACTTATGTGTGAATGCAGTTTATATTGCATTATTCAACAAAAGTAAATCTTACCCTTCATCGTCAATAATTTGGAAAGTGCTTTTAGAGTCCTTGGCCATTGCGACACAGCTGCGTGCAAAGATACCGTAGGGTGCTGTAAAAAAATCATTAACACTTTTAGTTTCATTCCTATGTGCAGCTTTATGAATCTCTTTTGGAGAGTATCTGTTAAGAGTTGTTGACGAATAAGTTCCATTTTGTCTACATGAGCTTAAAAAAAACCTTCTCTTCCTTTCTAACATTCTCAGTACTTATCATTCGGTATATATCATCAGACGAGATTGTGATCTTAGGTGAAATAAAAGTGTAGGTAAAAGTTTGAAGAGTACCAATTCATTTCCCCAACATCAACCAAATTCAACCCCTAAAGAATGTATAGTGGAAAAATACTAACTGTCTTCGGGTATCTCGATGCGGAACGTGAGGCGGTCTCCAATGCGCACAGTTTCAACCTCACGCTGGCGAGCGTCGAGGATGCGAATTCGAGGTGGTGGCGCTTCAGGAGCCGCAGTGATGGAGATCATCTCTGGATCCCTTGAAAACGCAAATATTTCATTTTTATTCACGTTCCACTGAACAATATTTTTGAATTATACACAAGTAAATTTTATTACAAAGATCTGAAAACTCCAATAAAAAAAAGTACCGTTCTTTAACATACAATGCTGTGGATATTATTATTGTGCGTAGATTGATTTTCAATGTCAAAGAAGAGAATGATAACAGCAAAAACTCTGTTTACAATTTGTATTGAAAACTTACCTGATGGGCACCATTCCGAAGGTAATGTTCTTGGAGCTCATATCATAAGTACACTTCACCTTGTAGATCTTGTCGGCCTTTGTCATGACCACACTGTGGTGTTGAAGCACCACTGTGTTTGAGTACACTCCAGTCTGAAAATGCGTATAGGTATATCAGTAAGACACGTGAGAATATTACATGAGATCTAACGTTTCAAGTACTTTTTGAAGTATAGCTCAGTAGTTTCCCAATTTCGTAATCTTCCCGTTCAAACTCATATGAAACTAAATCCGCAAAGGCTCGATATTCCTAAAAAGCCTATTACTACAACCAGCATTTCTATATTGAACTATTACCACATTACCAAGTACGTCCAACAGACCTACAGAACTATTGAGATGTACAGTCGATATCCCAAGACATCTGACCCCCTAGCTGACATTTTGGTTTTGAGAGCCTCTTACGTATTCAAAATAAAAGTGTGAAGGAATTCCAGCTTTTTGTTAATATTTGTGTTTATGTAAATTAATTAAAGTTCAAATTCGCTTTTAGTTCAATTTTTTTTAAAAATTGTCGTTCACTAATGATGCATCAAAGAAGTTATATCAAAAAGAATTTTACGGCACACAGATTTAAGGTTAAGTTTGTTTACCACCTTTCTTCGCACTGATCTACTTAGAATCAAAATGGTCGGTTAGAGGGTCGGATCTTAGAGCATCGACTGTACTTATCACAACAAAAACTGATTTATGCAATAGTTTACGCCGATCGTTGTGTTCTCCCATAACAAAGGTTGAAGTCTAATTACTATCAAGATTTGATCGACATATATGAGGTTTCGGTATTAAGTGGTCGTTATTCCTTACATAGTCACCAAACTTATCAATACGGAATGCCTTTTAGCCGGACAACAAAGGCTTGAAGTCCGCGTAATAAGAGCGAAAAAGAATTTGCGTATTTCGCTTTAGCTCGGATCGTCGACGCTAATGTTTTTCGCTTCTATAACATGGACGTGACCAGCTCAAGTCAACTTCGCGCAAACAAATGTGATATATATAGAGAGTCACTCTCTAACCCCATAATTGAATGTTAGAAAGAATTTCCCAATTAGGTACATACAATTTACTGATAATGATTATAATAAAAAGATACATATTCATATTTTATAAATAGCCACTCACGACACTCTGAGTGTTGCAGTCCTGTCCAGCCATGGTGAGGTCAAGGCGGAACAAATCGCTGTTGACCACGTCGATGTTGCACGTCTCGGAACGGCCCAGTGCATATATGCGCCCATTGAACGGCTTATTCGTGCGGACTTGTACCGCGATCCGCGTGTCCTTGCAGTGCACCGATACTGATACCGGGAGTAAAAGCTCATGTACGCAACATATTATGTAACAGATGTGTATGATTAAGTTGGCTGATTTTTTTATACTTATAATACTAAGTGACGGGACGAAAAAGTCGTGCGTCAGGTAGTACAACGACGGGTCTGATTCACAATATCGAAAGTCGCAATATGGTCTTTGTATCAAAAACGGTATATCGATTGGTCGTTACAGCGACATTTTGTTAAATGTAAGCGACACGCCTGTCCATAACAGTTGCAGTGCCGGAACGCAGTAATGCTCACCTTACTGCTTGGCGGCAGAAATAGGTAAAGTGGCAGTACTTCCCTGGACGAACTCTGTCACAAAGAGCTCTACTGCTACTCCTGTTGTCGTTCTGTTGTTAGATAATGTTGGTAGTGTTGCTATTTTACAATGGAAAGGGCATCGAGTATATAAACAGAAATATTGACGAAATAAGGGCCATATGTTCCTGGTAACACATTAGCGATACAGCTCTTATAAATATCAACTCTCGTTTGCACTGAAATATAGACAACTACAGACCTGTGTGCACGTCTCCGTATATTCCAAAAAATATTCTGTATTTATTGTAATAAAGATAATATCTCTAACCATGCCGTGCTGTTCTATTCGGTTGTGTAGGAAAAACAGCAAAACATCTAATTACAAAACAAACGGAATCACATTTCATCGGTAATTAAATATTAAATATGTAATTTTGCAACTTTCGTCCATTATAGCGAAGCTCAAGTTAACTGGCCCATTTGAAGTGAAACATTTGACGACACCCGTCAATTGTTTCAAACTCGGGCTGGCCAATTGGAGCGCAGTTGTCACAGTAATGATATGGCAGAAGAGTTTTCAAACAAATTAAATGACATTTCGTTTCTATTTCTGGTTATATACTCGATGGAAGGGAGTGTTGTGCATAGCTTGCACCCACACAGATTGCAAAACGCGTGTAAACATTTTAGATAACACCAATTATTCTACTCCCACGTTACACGTTGTCTATGTCAACGTTCACACCTTCCATGAGTGGTATGTCGTGTTCGACAAGCGTTCTAAACTTTTTAAACAAACAAACATAGGAGCAACAATGTTTAAGTAAAATTAGGGAATATTTATCTTATCTATGGTATGTGAAATATGTGAATATCATGTTTTTATTACCATAATTTTCATACCCACTAGTTGGTTATTATTATTGATATATGAATCCAGTCTGATTGGAGGATTTTTTCTGTGTGTTGTACAATCATTGTATCAATAATAAAATTAAGGAAGTTTCTTACCGTCATAACAGGTACCAGTTTTGTCACAATTGGCATCATTTCTGGTAAGATTGCTGGAAGTGTTCGTATCGTGTTGATGGTCGATAGTCACAGGTAGTTCACCGTTAGTGGTACTTGGTGGTTCTGAAAAAGAATTTATAATATATATAAAAGGAATTTATAAAACAATTTATATATTTAAAGAAGACGAAGCAGGGTAAACGAGGTAGGTTCATGGCTAGCATTAACTATTTATCTGAACATCTGACTAGAACGCAGTGTTCGTGCGTGCTTCGTGTAATCGTTTCAAAATTGCAGCAGCGTTCCCAGCAGCGCACTCGGGTGCAATTTTAAGCTACAACAATTACAGAACATTCTCCGTACTCGCTTCTGAATCCTAAGTTTTCACACGCCCTTTATGATTACTCATTGGTTAGATTATGATTCGCACTTTCTAGTACACGGAACTAACCAGGGCAATAAAAAAAAAGTGGTATTCACGTTTCTAAGATAAGTGTGTAATCTCTGTTGCATTGGCAAAAGGATTGCCGGATGGAGGAAGCATTGATGGATGGCACTTGCGGATTGAACTAGAGTACCTTCACTTAATCTGTTATAAAGTGTGTAGAAAATCTCAAACATTCCGACTATCTATGTTACTTTTATTATAGTGTTTAAACCATAGGGTTTAAAAAGAAACATCAGACAAAAAAATTAAATCATATAATAATATCATATAATTTCATTAAATATATTATAACCCACGAATAATTGCAATGACGCATGTTAACGAATCTTTTCCGATAAGCGAACACCGCTTACCGCCCCCCGGGTAGCACTGTCTCCAACTAATATCTTTGGTTGAAATATCCAACTTGCCTTGACTTGAAATATCAAAATATACAACTCACAATGTATATCCTAAATTCATTTCGAAATGTATTTAGGAAAGTTTATTTTAGAAGCAAGTTTCAAATTGTGCTAAATATTTTTTGCATTGGGTAGATAGAATAACTATGCCAGGAATAAACAGCTGATAACTTAAAAAAATCGATAGTTTGTGACAAAATTACAATTTAGGAAATGGAATTATTTTGTCGGATCTGAATTACATATATTTGTTTTTTTTTTCAAACACACCAACGTTTCCGACCCTTTACAGGTCCCAGGTCCTATGCCTACGGCTGACTCTCAGCCGTGACCACGAAACATACCTTGGAAGACCAAGAAGTTTGTGGCATATTAAAATTTAATATACTTTTATAGCATAGTTATATTCTTGTTATAACGATGCCTTAATTTCTCAAACTCGTATCTTATAACGACTGATTATTCAGGAGATGGCAAAACTTTCTTTTTTAAATTTCTTATCAAGGGTTTATTTGGTTACATTACTTTAAGAATAGATAAAAGCCAATGCGTAAATATGAAGGAAATCTGATGTGAAATCAACCTGCAAAATTTGTATAATACACAATCCATTTTTGCATTTCAGTAACTTTGTGCGTTAAGATACGAGATTGAGAAAATAAGGCTACAATAAGTAACTTTATGAAATCAAAATTATAAGATAGACGTCTGTCCTAAGTCTACATTAAAGAGATAAGTCGATGACACCAGTGGCCTGCACCAACGGCCCGACGTTTAGCAACGCTCCATCGGCTTAGCAATACAGCTAAAAAAAACTTCAATAGATTCCCACGGTATTCGTAAATCATGGTTTCCGAACAATACAAAATGTAACAATAAAAAGTAAAAACTAATGACCTTTTCTTTTTTTGCTTTGCAAATCAAATGTTAATGAGTTCGCTGCCCGTAAAAAGTATGTACTTGATTTAAACATATAAAACAGAGATATCATGAAAGGAATTGCACTAAAGGAGCTCATGTGTATCTTAGAAAACGGTTTAAACTCGCAGTCTTAAGATAGAATGTTGCCTTTAAAGGGTTGAAAAAACTAGCTCAGAGTTAGTGGAGTGAGGTAAGATCGGAAGTGTTCAGAGCACTATAACGGTCGAGCTATCGGCTATCACAGCAAGGCTATTGGCAATTACCGGGACACCGCCGTTAGTCCCCGACTTAAGTCGCTAGATAAAGCGCGCTCGCCTATTTATAAACACGGCAAACGTTTTACTGTGCTATGCGGGGCTGCCAGGAAATAATTATCCATCTATTATATCTACGGACGCAATATAATTACAGGGTTATTTGTAAAATACTAACAACCTCACAAGACTATTACTAAACGTCTTAAACAACAACTTTTGTTTCAAGACTTTCAATAATTCACCAGATTATACTTTTGTACAAAAATACTAATATTTCAATAGATCGCTCTAAACGGTGATAAATCTGCGCGGTAACAAAAGAAGGTAAATAAATAAATAAATAAATAAATGCAAAACGCAGGAGCGGGGGTGGGGGTCGTCGAAGATGGCGCTTGCATGTTTGATCTTAATCTTACTACGAAAAACAGATCTAAAAGTGTCAGGTAGTGCAACAAAAACTTGAAATAGGAAATGAAACTATTTTTCCGGATTTAAATCGCGTATATTTGTTTTTTCAAACAAACCGACGTTTCGGGCCCTTTACAGGTCCCATGGTCACGGTTGACTGTGTGTGTTGACTCGCGAAAACCTAAGAACTCGATAAAAACTTGAAAGTTTATTTTTGGTAAATTTATTGTGATTTGCATAAAATTATGCAACAAAAATTGTTGTATAATGATGCGTTATGAGAAGCTGTTAGTGTTTTGCAAATAGCCCTGTATACAATTTTAATAATGTACAGTAAACCATTTAGAACGATGTAATCGACCTGAACTGTAAAAAAGGAACGGTTACTTAATAGGATCGATGTCAAAACATCTCGATCTCGATCGAAATGCGTTGTCGATTAGCCACGGAGAGCGGGCAGTGACCCCGTCCACATGTCGATATTATGGTCGCAAGGTCGACCAAGGCCGTTATAGAATCGCGATTACCCCCACTCTATTAATATCCAGTTTGGAACTCGCTTTAACTATCCGTGAATTGATGCCGTGAAGTATTTTAGCGCACCTCTAAAATTAACGTGCGAATATGGTGCGAATTTAATTCCTGTTATGGTTCACGGTATTAACCTTGTGGTTAATGTGATTACTGTTGCCGATGTAATGAAAGCTGATATTGAATCAAACTTGGAGACAGTTTAGTCAGTAGTGTGTTTCAGTGTTCTTTAGTATTATATACGCGGAAATAATATTGTAAAAGATTTTCCTTGTCGATATGTATTTTTACTAATGAAAATGTCCACAACCGGGGATCGTTTCATGCGGCTATTATGTATCATGATTCAATTACTGCCGAGTTAGGGCTGAAGCATGGTGAAACCGAGTTGATTGAGCTGCACAAAAAGTTCTATTCAATTTTTATAAGCCACCGTTAGTATATTGGCGCCACATGCCATCTATACGCCTTCCTTTTTACTTTTTATCACAGAACACGTTGTGCTGTCACGTACATTAATATGTATACATGTCTTACACGTCAAGAAACTTGTAATAGATTTTTGTAACAAAATTCACTCGGTCTGTGGCTCAGTTCGTAAAGAGCGGTGACCCCAGCATGGCAAAAGACGCTGGGTTTTTTCTTTGTGTTGTTCAAGTTTTGTATCAACATTTTATAACAAACTAGTGGAGTATTTTCACCAATAATATATGTATATCATTGTAGTAAAACATCCTGATATTAAGTAGTAGTTGGGCTGCTTGTAAAAGAGTTCGTCCAGGGAAATACTGCCATCTTCCTTACTTCGGCCGCCACGCAGTAATTGAGCACTAGGTACAGCGTTCCAGTTTTGAAGAGGAGCTGATGAAATTACAGGCACATGGGACTTGTCAACTTATATTTTAGGGTGACGGGCAGTGTGACAATGTCCCTCAAATCTTTGCAACTTAAAGCTCTGAGTGGCACTGCAACTGTTATGGACAGGCGTGTCGCTTACCATTAGGCGTAAGACTATCTCGTCACTTGGTATCATAAATAAATGTTGCAATGTAAGGTATTGTACAAATATTATATTATATTTGGTGATCATTTAATTATAATTATGCGCGTATACAAAACATAAATTTTAGTGAAGTATGTAGACACACATGATAGATAAATGTAGTTTAAGGTCTTGTCTTTTCTACTAACTGAATAAAGTTGAAATGGTATTATTTTGCAACAGTAGCCGGCGAGTTGTAATCAAGTATGATCAAGCAACTTGATGGAAGTCAGAATACGAGATATTTCACCTTAAACAAGTTTTCATTCAAAACCACAAACTGCTTCCATTCTCAAAATTCGCATTGGTAAGATTAGATCCATTGCCATTAATGTCTATTTGATCATCAGTAGATAACCAAGTATCACAGGGTAATTACGTTTCTCCATTACCAATAGAGGAAATGTAAGGAATTGAATTTGTGCGCATAACGGTATCGAGACGGGAAAATTTCTGAATTGTTCATTATATGCTGAATATTCTCGCATATACATATAATGGTAGCTGAGATAATCTAGGACGTGAACGAATAAACCTATATAAAATACAATAAAACTACTTTATCTACAAATGAATGAAGGTACGAAATATTGTTTATATTGCAAATTAAAAAATTACAGTGACAACACAGAAGAGTAATATAAGGACCACAGAATAAGCTAACGTACATCAACTTCTTGCTAGGTAGCAATTTCTTCTACATAACCTTAAGATATAAATTTAAGTGTTGGCAAGGCGTATGCAACACTAGAATATGTTCTAATAGATGTGTTTTAAATAAATACTACACATTGAATACTAATAATGTATACATATACCTCTAGATAATAATATATAATAATAAAACTTATTTCGTTCTTTTATACTTATTTAAACTACCTCTGTGGCCGAACGGTTACCATGCCGGACTGCCACGCAAAGGTCCCAGAGTCGATTCCTGGGCCGGGAGAAATATTTGTATGGCCTACATTTATTTATCTCGTGAGTTTGAGTGTAATTTGTGGTTGTCTACGTGTGTGTCCATGGCACCCGCGACACAGGGTTTCCCTAGTGCGGGGCTATGTTGAGTGTGTACGTTATTATTATTATTATTATTATTATATAAAAATAAAAAA